ATTTTCTGAGTGTCATTGCTGAAGGAAGCAAAATGGCCAGAGCAGCTGTGTGCATCCCTAGAAGTAGTCATGATTGATGTGTGGTGCTAAACCAACTCAAAAGAATAAAAAAGGAGCTTTGTCTATCTCCCAGTGAAGACGGCCATGCTGTCTTCCTGCCATCAAACCCTCTGACCAGGGAATATAAAATTCCATTGACTTGTAATTTCCACCACCTTCCCTCTCTATCCCCAGACACTAAAGTTTGGATAGCAGTGAGCACAAGAAAATGTAAAGCAGGAGTTCTGCTCACCCACAGGCTGCTATCGGTAGCAAACCCAGGTCATCTACCTGCAGTTAATAAGCCAGGGATAATATGGAATAATGACACCCTACGATTAACTACAAGTCCACAAAGTGCCATCATGCCATCACAAGGACCGATTAATTTCCTCTCACATCACTTATTCCTGATTTTGAGTGAGGGACATGAGAGGAGAAGTAGCCCCAATGTGTGGACTTGACTGAACAAGTGATTGTCCTTGCTTAGGTTCCCATTCCTCCCTGTTTCCTCAACAAGGGGAAAACTTCAGAAAGGGCGTAGCCATGGCCTTGGATGCTTATGAGTATAGCACCCTCAGGCGATGGTTTGTAGAGCTTTCGGGGGCTGCAGTCTTGGCTGGAATATCTGGACAGCAGGACTCTGTGTTTCTAATCCTAGGCAAAAGCCCCCTATGGTTTTGGTCCTCCTTTTTCCCTGTGAGTATACTGGATATAGTATGGTATAATTTGAAACTGGTGGCATTTTATGTCCTTTCAGTACAGCGTGAGCAGCTGCAAGAAACATGTTGAATATTATGGTGGAATTTATATTTAATTGGAAACTTTCAGTTCTTTGACCAGTCGTTGTATCTTTAAAAGTGCTAGTAACCTGCAGTTCCTCAGAACTTGCTGTTCTGTAAGTGAAGTAAGAGCATAAATCTCCTCCTAGGTATTAGAAATCTTAGAGATTAGAAATTAGAAATAAGTTTGAAAGCCCCTAATTTAGTTACAAACACTTGAGTGTAGTGTTTTCAAAAATATGTTTTCTTTTTTTTAAAATAGAGCTTATTAATTTGTAGCATTAACCATTTATTATGGCTCTGATCCAGCAGAACACTTAAATATGTGTGTAAGTTTATATACTTAAGTAAGTAATGCACTTTAAAAATAATGCGTGTATGTAAGTATTGGACTGAATCCCATCTGCATTCAAAAAGGAGTTCCTTTACCCAAAGAGTAATTTCCATGCTGAGTTTTTTTCCCCCCATGGATTCAGTGATCGTTGTAACCAGAACAGCACAAAGTAGCACTCGAGTACTCCCCTGTGGTATTCATGTGTGGCTACTTATATATCTGGCAATGGAGGAAAACTTTCATTTTTAAATATAATGAAAATTCAAAGTATTTTGTGGACATGCTCAAAGATGCATTCTAGCTCTTCCTGCCGTTTACTTATTTCATGAATTTCTGGCTGAAAATCTGTGCATTATGTGGGGAGATAGATTAAATAAGGGCATTTTTCTGACCTTAAAGCCAATGAAACTGCTCAAGTAATGCTGTAGGTTTGGGTTGTGCCCTTTCACAGAATTTGGACCTAGAGGTTCAGATGCCATTTTCAGTATCCTGCACAAGCAGAGCAGAGCACTGCCTGCTCTATGTAACGCCAGACAGCATGGTTAGGAGAGGGATCAGCACCTTCTGTACTGTTCTTGTGGATTTTCCTCCCAAATGCCTGAGTTATTGCTGCCTTACTACACTTTCTGTGTGTGTAATACCACAGCTCTTCGTAGTGTTA